GAGTGCCAGAAAAAGATTTGGTTTTTCCCAGCATTAGTACTTGCCAGAGTGTACAGAGGGTGAAGAGGATGCTCAATGTGAATGTAGTACTGAGGTTCTCTGAACTGTTTTTTTTTTTTTTGTTTTGTTTAATTAATTGGAATCCAATAATTCAGGCAAAAGAATGCCATTTCTGAGTAAACTTACAAAATATATTTTATTTAAACCTACATATATAACAAGGGAGAAAGCCTCATTCATATATTCACCCCCTGCTCCCACTGAAGAGTGAAATTACATCCCTTTTTCCCCAGGCAAGAGGAATATGGGAGCATAGAATATTCTCTACCATCACCTGCAAGGCCTCAGTGGCAGAAACTGTAAGCAGACCATCAACACAATCTCTGACCGTCAACACGTACAGAGAAGGTGGATAGCAGACAGCTCCTGCAGGAAGTGGAAGACTTTGGCTGATGGTTATCAGAAAAGTCCTTGCTAACTCATGCTCAGTTTTGGATTCACAGCTATGAACTATCACCAACTCTTCCACTTTCCTTTATTTCTATATATTCCTATTATCCGCCATTTTTTGGCCATCTAAATGTTGAAGTGGTACTTCTAGGAAACAGAATATTTCCCTGTCTTGACAGACAATGCCTAGGTCATAACATCATAGGATCATAGAATGGATTGGTTGGAAGGGACTCTAAAGATCATTTTATTCCAACCCCAGCCATCATAGGGATACCTTTTACTAGACCAGCTTGCTCAGAGCTCCACCCAGACTGATCTCCAACACTTCCAGAGATGGGGCACCCACAGCTTCTCTGGGCAACCAGCTCCAGTGCAATACTACTTACATATAATAAGAGATAATAGATATAGTCATGTGCTGTACTCTTCCATTTTGTTTTTCTGATAGGGAAAAGGTTTGTTGCTGGGGTTTTTGGCAGCCTTCCAAAATCAGAAATCTGGGTTGGTTTAAGAATTTCCATGATGCTGGAAAGCTTTGGCTGACATGCTTCTCAGAAATTGTGTAGCAACCCACATCTCAATGTGGGACAATCTGAAGATAAACTCCTTTACAACAGCTATTTCAGATGCATTAATCAGTTAGTGTATAGATCTGTACCATTCAAGAACAAGTAACCCAAATTTTGTGTATTACTCACATATCAAAATGCAAAAGTGGGTGATCTGCTGATCTGAAATTATTTTACAGAGCACAATTTTAATTATCTAATAAACTTCAGAAAGATGTGAGTTCCTTGGCAACATTTTTGCAAATAGAAACAGAAATAAGGCCTAGATTTTCAACTCCAGTGGGACTCCAAACTAAGAACTCGAAAACTAAGGTCCTATATTCACATGTAGGTATCTGTTTTTTAAAAAAATTTCAGTTTGCTGTGCACCTAGTATCTCACTTTGATTTGCATTCCAGAAAATCAAGGTCAAAACTAAGCCTGACTTTCTTTCATCTTTTGCGGACTATTTATTACAAGAGATGCACCATTGCCTCTTGAGGTATTAGCCCTCTGTAGGACAAATTTTCATAATTTAAATCTGCTTTTTAGTCCTCTTGACATAATTTTGATATATATACACACACAGAGACATATATATATAAATATATCTCTATATATATATGTAGCTAATAAGCAATTACCTGTCAGTTACTTTGAAGTTGACTGCACTAGGTGGAAACCACATCATTACAATATTTTGGAAGAGTTGTAATAAAAGCTGAAGAAAAAGTGGTTTGAATTTCTAAGTGCTACTGACTTTTGGTGTGTAGGTGAAACTTTATTTGCAGTTGCTGTCCTGCCTGGGCTCTCTCTGAGATGTGTTGGTGAGGAGGAAGTTTAGATGCATGTATTTTCAGTTACTGCCTGAGAGGAGGGAAAAGGAAGAAGTTGTATGTAACACTTCAAGGCTTAAATTAATGTAAAATAAATCAAACCTGGGATGGTGTTTTAGAAGAGAAACCTGTCAGTAACAGAGAGGAGATATTGGACCTGGAAACATATTTGTCTTTTTTAAATGCTCACTTTCAAGTATGTCTGGTTTCCAGCCCAGTTTGCATCAGAAGGGATCAATTTTTTCCCCATTTTCCTGTTCTACTTTTGTGCTGGTATTGTCTGAATCCCAGAGTGAACAGTAATACATCATCCTGCTTCAACATCTGCTAGAGCCCCCTCTCTTTCTAATCTGCCCAGATCCCCAAAGCATTTCCCACCTGCTATAGCACCAAATGCTCATTATAGCACAGAGCTACACCCTTCACTGTCCTTTCCCCCTTACTCTCAAGGTTAACATGGCACAATGACTATTATGAAATGGGGGCTTTAATAATATAAAGGCAGTCCAAACTAAAGAAGGGGGAGGGGGTGAAGAAAGGGAGCTGGGAGGAATTGGGTAGCATGCCAGCTTTTGCTGGCAGCAAAGATCTGCAAGAAAGCTGTGGCCAACTTTCCAGTCGAAACATGACTCACTGCTCAGAGATGCACCCAAAATAAATAGCTTCCCTGTTCTGCTCCCAGCAGAAGCAGGAACCTCACCCTCCTGTGGTTTTATGTCAGGGTACTGTGGGGACCACTCCAAGCTGCTTGGTGGAGCAGCACAGATAAAAATGGCAATTTTAAAGGCTATAGTGCCTCTGGGGTTTTGTTTACCTCTTGGCAAAGTGAAAATCATAAGGAATTAGAAGACTTTTCTCTTCTCATTTCCCACCCCCCCACCCCCCACAAACAATCAACCTGTCTGTTCTGCTTGGATCATCAGATCCATTGCAAGTGTTGTACCTGGCACAGATGCATGTGGGTTGTGGGAGGAGATGCAAGTGAGCAGCAAGGCAGAGGGCCAGGCTCACATGCATTCCTATGAACAGGGCTTGATTCTGTGGTGCAAAATGACTGTTGTATTGGAGGATAGGGACTCAGCGTGAACGCTGCATTCCCTTGATTTGCTTGTGTTCTGTCTTAAGATAACTTCAGTGATGTGGCATGTTGGAAGGTCTGGATAGTTTTGACCTTAAATAAATGAAGAGGAACCTTCTTTGGTGGTATCTTTTGGCCCTTGCATTCCAAGGAGTGAATTGGACTGCATCCTACCATAAGGATTTCAGATAGAATTTGTGAAGTCTGAGGTGACTGCACATCTCTGCATTCATCTCTAAGGCACAATCTTAGCTTCCATTCGCATAATGCACATTATGCATTTCCATTTCTTAATAGATAACTCTACTGGCCTTCCCTCATTCTCTAAACCACGTAGCATTCTATAACATGTCAAGCAGAGCAAGACTTTGGAAGCAGCACACACAGCACTGAGAAGCTGGGTTATGTTTTCTCATGTGCAGTGGCAGAAAGAGGGGCTTGGAAAGGATAGGAAGAAGAGGATGGCTTGTGTTAGTGATAGCTGTTGCTGTCATATGTTATTGCTGTCAGATGGCAGCTTTCCTGGTCTCTGGGTAGATGGAAACATGCTATGTATCTTCTTTGCAACTGAGCTTTTGAGTCCATGGTTCTTTTAACAAGCCACTGAAGGTAACAACTTGTTGGAATTAAGAACTTCATTTATTCACTTGCTTGCTCATTCAAACTGAACTGTTTCTTCCACAAATGACTTAAAAATCCATTTTTAGCTGGACCTTATGTAAGCAAAGCTGCACTGAATGCAAATACACAGAAAAAAAATCACACAGGAAGAGGGCAGAACACATTGAGTGAAATAGATTTTTTTCAAAGAAATGTCAACAACTTATGCTCTCAGCTTACTGCATTGAAATTCATCAAAAGTGGTCTTATAGTTATCTGAAAACAGCACCTGAGCAGTGTTCTTCTAATGAAACTTAGAGCAGGCTAGCTACATACTTAGCTGAAAATATATTATCCAGCTAGAGCAGTTAAGCCTCTGAGTCTCATATCCAGATATCTAATGATAAGCTTTTAAATAAAAACTACGACAAAGAGAGCAAGAACAAATGAGGACTTGGCCCCAGACTGTAAAAGTGAAATACAGTCTTGATTATATTTCTGGTGATGCCAGCTGTGGTTGAGACCAAGGGCCCAAGATCATGGTATCTGTATTAGCCAAGTCATGACTGTGATTCAAACTCCTCCTAGAGGAGGATGGACTTTTAATTCAGTATTTGTGTGGATGAAATTGTTTTGTGGGACATCTTATTTTAGAACAGGGACAGGATAAAGGACAAAAAGTACATATCTTCTCTCTCTCTTTATGCATTTATATAGACATATACATGAAGGTTAGAGCTTATGACTACAAGTCAAAAAGCAAAACAGGAGGGGAAAAAACCCCCAAAGCACTATTAAAAAAAACCTCACACAAATTGGTCTGATGACCGTTGTGGGTGGCTATGCTTCAGAGATCCCATAAACCCCCTTCAGCTGCATGAGGTTTTGGTGAAGTTGGGTGTGGGTGATGGCATATTTCCATATGTACTTCCTTTCAGTTAGAGTCTTCTGGTGAGACTTCCTTTATACTGCAAAGACCACCCTTTCCACTTTCCACCCACAGACTTGTTTCCTGGCGTGAGTAGGATGAGTGGATTGCAGTCGGCATTTTGTCACACCCTCAACACCTGCAAAAGATAAGACCATTGCATCAGGCATGATGGCACACACAGAGGACACTGATCATTGCTGACACTGACACTGATACATCATGAAGGTAAAAGCTACCAGTGCCTAACAAACAAAAGCTTGAAAACCCACTTTTCATAACAAGCAATGTGAGATGCTCAAATTGTAGGTGCATATGTTTATGTTAAGGTTTGCAGTAATTATTGAACATTTCAGCATGCATTAAAGTACAAAACAGAGAATGTTTAGAAAGAGCAAGCCCTGGAAAATAACTAGCTGGCATTTAAGCACATGTTTTTTCACACACCTGGATCAAAAAAACGAGGAAGATAAAAAATCCTACCCATTAATCACGTGAGAGGAACAAGAAAAGAGGAGGTAGAAAGTCAAAGCAACAACCTGGTAAAAGTCTGCTTGCCTTGCTGGCCTTACCACCTCAGAGGCTGACTCAGAGATGCAGATCTTGAATCCCTTCAATGCTGCAAGAATTTAGATATATTTCTGTAATATAGATATATTACAAAATTCGTAACTTTGTCTCTTTTCTAAAACAAACAAAAAACAAACAAATGTACTTTAAATAACATTAACAGTACAACAAAAATGAAACAGCTCAAGAAATGCAAAATTATGTTAATAGAAGACCTGACACTAAATGCCCTTTAATCACCATCTGGCCTCCTCCATCTATCAAAGCTAGGAGTTAAGGTTAGGGTCACCCTCCACTTTGAGAGTCTGGTTTTTAAACTTCCTTCTGTTTCTACCATATCTTCATGTCTCTGAAACACGTTGGGGCAAAGATTTGCCCCAAAACTGAAGGGTACAGACCACACCCTGAGTGACTGAGACACCCCAGTCCAATGGTATGTGCAGGTACACCAGTAAGTGCGTGCATCCATACCAATATGTGTGTGCACTTCCTTTTATTTCTGCAGGAACAGTATCAGCCCTTAAGTTTGAATTAGATCAATTGAGCCATGGGATCAGTACTCAGAAATCTCTCTGTACCTCTGGGAGATCATACTTCACATTTAATTACACATGCATGTACATGCATTCATCCAAGTGTCATAAAAAGCACAGTGTTTAAAATACTGAATGATTATCAAAAAAGGTGCTGGAATAATTTAGGCATCTTATGAACATTGAATTCAATCAATGCAGATATATATAGGCATGCTATGGAACTGACTTAATGTCACGGACACTTTTTTTCACGTGACTTCCACCTCACTTACTAAATCAGAGGAAGGATGCTTATTTAACAATGAGCCTCTTGATGTTTAGCTTATCCCTTAATCTATGTGTCCTTATGCTCCCTGACTTCCCACAATTCAGAATTGTGCTTTCTGCAATGCATACTTTCTAGCTGAGCTGTGCCACCATTGAAAAAAAGCTCCTACACATGGCAGTTGCCCGAAATTTGTTGTAGTGGTGCAGATTCTATCCCAGACTTACTCCTCCATCTCTGAGCTATCACAGTCCAGCGCCTTCCCACTTTCCTTTCCCAAATGCTTTTATTTCATCACCCAGTCAGTCACAATTTCCACTGCGGAAGCCCAACCGCTCTTCTTCTCACCACCATCTGGTCATACACTAAAGCAAAAGCTTCTAAAATTCCACTCCATAAATCTTGCTATACTCTTATTACTTACTGGAAATATGAGCAGCCTCATTATCTGTCCTCACAGATCTTTATAATGTGCTAATTCTACCAAGTCTACTTTTAGACACAGAGCTAGAACCCTAAAAGAAACACCTTGCAGCCTTGTTCATTGCTACTTTGGGACAACCTTACAGCATTTTCCCCAACTCTGTTGTAGTGGTTTTGGTTCACCAGTTTGAGATTTCCCAGCCAATGCACCAATTAGTGTGGTGGGTTCAGAGCTGGCCAATCACCAATGCACTCACTAGAACGTACTTACTTATTTCTTGCTGTGATATAGGATTAAGGGAAAGGCAAAGCAGGCTCACAATTTTAAAATGGTATAAAGAAAAATTTATTAACAGTAACTAAAAGAAAGAGTAAAAAGAATCAGAAAAAACCCTTCAGGACACACTCCCCCTACAACCTTTTCTTTCTCAATGACAATGTAAAGAAACAAAACCTAACATTTCAGTCAGTTTACCACCTCTAGAACATTCTTTCTTCAGTTCACTTAAGGAGAGAAGTCCTTCTTGTTAATGTTATGGAGACTTCTCTACAATAAAACAGTTCTCTCATGGGTCTCAATTTCTTCAAGAATAGCAGCCACCTGGGGAAATCTGCAATTGTGAAATCCCTCCCATTTTCCACATGCTGTTCCCACAGCTGTGTTTATGGACTACGTCAACTTATGGGATACTGTTAAAGATGAGCTGTTCAAAGGCAAAGGTTCTCATAATCTATCTCTGAAATTATCTTCCTCTCTAGGAATAGAGGTCTTCAGGTCTTCTTGCTGGCACAGGAACTTCATCATTCTTCTCACCTTCTCTATTCAAACTTCTCACAGGATCACAGCTACTTTAACATCTCTTTACTTTAGCTTGGAGGCCTTTGCTCGATATCTACAATTTTAACACTTTTATTTCCCCATACCTTCATGCGTTATAGGGAAAAAGGGTCTTTCTCTATAGCTTTACAAGAGGACTTCAGCCCCAAGATCAAGGCATCTCCTCATCCCTCCATCTAGGATTTGGTCACTTACCTTGGTGTCTTCATGTTGTTCCTTTACATTGCCTGCATTTTGTTCTTTTCTCTCACTCGTGGGAGGATTGAAGCACTGACAGAGTTTATATCTCGCCCACGGCCTGCAGGGGGTCACCTGGCTCCGGCCAGGCTCAGCAGCTTGCTGCCGGAGCTGGGGCTGGGGGGGCCGATAGCTTCTCCTCCTCCTGCCCGGTGGTTGTGAAAAAATCTCAGTGGTGGTAGGTAGGATCTTGGCTGAGCTGGCCTGGCCCCGGGTTGCTCCTGGGGACCGGTGGACCCAGCTCGGCCTCAGGCTAGTGGCAGGGCAGGGCTTAGTAGCAGCAAGATGTTAGAAATCACAGCCATAGCCCAGCCTGGCCTCGGCCCGCAGCCTCTCCTCTCACTGCCCAGCAGCAGGAAGGGAGTCCGGGCCTGCGGCAGGGGCCCGGCCTTGCCCCTGTTGCCTCTTTGGCGACCCAATAAGAAAGCGAACGTTCCCAGGTTTCTTTCATCTTTAACATGTGTTTTTCACAGAGGCATTTAGAGCTTTCCAGTGGTTCAGATTGTCAATCACACAGATGCTTTGCATCACTTCCATGAATGCCTCCCATGCAAAATCACCACATTCCACGTCACATCTGCAAAATACATGTCAAAAATTATTATCAAAACTACATTCCATATACAGCCTCTACATAAAACAATAAAAACTACTAAAATTACAACAGAAATTACACCATAATTACAACAGAAACTTTTCACTATCATTCTGCTTAATCTTATGTTGTAATACATACCTTGCCATTCATTTCTCGCAATAAATCCCTGTCTTACAGCATTCATCCATTGCCTGCATTCTCCACCCGAATGATGTGGTTGTTTCAGTTCGAAACTGAGCAGAAAAAAAAATTTTGTGTAGTGGTTTTGGTTCGCCAATTTGATATTTCCCAGCCAATGCACCCCTTAGTGTAGTGGGTGCAGTGCTGGCCAGTCACCAGTGCACTCACTAAAATATACTTGTCCTGGTGTGTCCTGGTGTAGGGCAAATTTGGGAGAAAACCTCCAAAGGGGTTTCCTCTGGAAAGCAAATTCACGGGGCCCCTCCCCCAACTGGTTCAGGAAAAAGATTTCGTTGGAGAAAAGTGGAAAAAACTGTTTATTTAACAGGCAAAGTATTCAACAGCTCAAAAATTGAACGTTATTAAACAATAAAACCTCTTGCTTCTCCAAAAGAGATGACAAACTCAGAAAGTCCCCTTTGTGGGATTTAGCTTGGCTCACTGGTCTGTTATCAGCCCCTCCTGTGCTGGAAATACCACAGCCCAGACCCTGCCCAGTGGGCCACAGGTGTGAGCTGCCAATGCTTTTCTGGGTGTTCAGTCCAGAACATGTTTAAACAGGTCCAAAGAAAAAGAAAAACCACCATCTAGGGAACTTCTCTGCCTCAGCTAGCTAAAAACTAACTAAAAGCAAAGGAGAGCTGTGTCCCACTGTCTGTCTATGCTGCAGACAGCACAGTCCAGGAGCAGGAATGTGGAGGAATGAGTGCAGTGTCTGAAAACAAACTGCACGCTTCTTCTCTCCCCCCCCCCCCCCCCGCCCCCAACCGTCATTCTCAGAACCAGTCTTAAAGATGCAAAACTAATTTCCGGGCTAAACAGATGAATGGGGGTATGAGCATCATAAAGTCACCCTAAGACATCTGTAGATGGGGTATGCTCTCAAATGTTCCGGTAGAGTGTCAGTTGTATTGACATCAGTCCAGGTAATAACAGAACTGCCCATACAGGTAAGGCTTGCACTGTCCAAGCAAAGTTAAAGAAACATACTCTTTTTATAAAAAAAACCATATAATATTTATCTTTTTCAGTTCTGTGGGATTTTTGTCAGACTCACAGCCAGGCGTTTTGGCACTCTGTTGTTGGAAATTTCCCAAACACATGTAAGAAAAACAAAGTCAGTTTAATACAATTATCAGCTTTTTCTCAGTCTGTGTTGAGTCTGTGTTTGTCTAATGTCCATGTAGATATTTTCTGCTTATTAAAGTCAATAAATCTGCTACTTTGAAGATACAGGCACACTTCTTGTGACGCTACTGTATATTGCTCTCTAACACTCCATCTTGTCCACCGTGTTCAACAGCAGAGAGCAAATAAAATTGATAGCATACCAAACCATTTCAAAAGACATATTCTGAGGAAAAATCCAGGGGAGCTATGTGTCCTCCTATTTTCTACCACTATAAAGCATGTATCTAGGAACATTATTGGACTATCTTCTTAGGAAGAAATAGTCTCCTCACAAGCAGATTCAGCAGTACTTGCATATTCCTGACTTTGCAGAAGATTAATTTAGACTTCTTAGGTAGAGCATTTATTCTTGTAATTTTATGTTAGTTATTTAAAATTGTCAGTTCGCTGTTTATCTTTGGATTTGACAATGCCTTCATCTTTATTACTTCTTTCACCTGTAACTAAGTTGTCACTTAAGTATGTCACACTTGTATATTTTATTTTACTGACTATGACAAATTGTTGTTTTACTTTGAGCACATCACTAATCTAACAACATTCACTTTTCTTGGAACATACCTCCTCACTCTTATGGGTGTCTGTGGTCCAAATAGGTTTCTTTCTCTTTGTATCCATGCTGGGAGAGCTAAGACATGCTAAGATTTGCTTCTGGATACAAGTCCTGTGGTATCAATAATGTAATGGAAATGACACAAATGGTCACTTTGCTTTCAAGTTTACTAAGATAAACAGGTTCTGTGTTGCATGCATGTAGAATGCATGTTCTCTGCATTCTAGCCCAGTTCCCATTTTTAACTAGAGAAGTACTTGGATATGTTGAAAACACAGAGAGATCAGCTTTTCAACTTTGGAGAGAATTATCCTGCTTTCTATTTAACATACTCTGTTAACATACTGTACTTCTCTCTGACTTATTTTTGCCCTCTCTTCCCCTCTGGCTTTCAGCTTGCCCTTTTCCTTCCTTTGATTTTGTTCTCAACCCTTTTTCCTTTCTCTTCCTTGTGAATGCAGACCTGGCTTTCCCCCCCTTCTTAGCTTAAGGCTTAAGTCTTTTCTTCCCTTTGGCACTTGGTTTAACCTTCTGTTTCTCTCCTTTTTTTTTATAATTGACTTTCGCTCCCTGACTTCGCACACATAATTCATTTTCTCCTGGAGGTGGTAGGAGTGGTGGGGTCGGGGTGTTCAAATACCTGCCTTTCTTGAAGAGAAGGGCCATCATCTCCTGTATCACCATGTCTGCCAGATACTCTCTGCAACTCTGGTAACAGACCTTCCTAGCCACGCTTTCTCACTGACCTGTCTTGCATCTTTATAAGCAGTTATAGAGCCTTGACTGCAGCATCTCCTCAGGAAGCACAAAGAGGGTATAGGTCTTTCCCTAGATGCTGATCCTCCCTCATACAGGTTATTTGTGCATTTTGGTCAAGCTTGTTAAGCATCCACTTTCTTTAACAATTGTATTGTTAAAGCCCTCTTGATATGTTAAGTCATCTCTATTTCACAGCCTGCAATATATACCTCAGGGTATTTACTCAAAACCTCTTCTCCTACTAACAAACACAATGGCTGCCCACAAAAAAAGAAAAAAAGATATTTCTTGTATCCAAGGAAAGAAGTAGCATTTCAGAGTGATTGTTGAAAATACTAAAGCCATTGCCCTTGAAAAATAGCATCTGTTCCTTTGCAAGTTTTTTTTTTTTTTAAAAAAAACATATTTCTATTATCTCCATGACCTAAGAGCAGCTTTCTCACTTTCCCTCTGCTGTTGAGGAGGTGGTTGACATCCTCACCTCCTCAATGTATCTGCATTTCTGTCCTCAAGTCCTGCCAGCTTGATGTTTCCATTTGGCACTGGTTGCTTCCATTTCAGAGGTCTCATCCCTAACCATCCATTCAATGCCCATCCTCTAGAGGAAGAGTACCTTGTCAGCTCTGTTCAGAGACTTGGGTCTCTCTAATCTATTTTAATTTAATTCTTGGTGGTGTAGCATAGGCAGCTATGGGTCTTCTCCGTGATTTTTAGAAGGGGAAGTAACTTACTGGGCTATACAGAAAGTTTCACTTGGTCTTTTCTCACTTCTTCCTTTTCTCTTCCGTCTCCCCTGCAATAGATTCACTCAGCTGAATTTGTGTCTTATTCAAAGCACATTGACATGAAGCTGAGAGGAATATTTATTAAGGACAATGTAATCCTCAATACAGTATGGTGTACATGATAAAGGAAGTCGAAATAATATAGAAAATCCATATTTTATCAAGGGCTCTGATTCTGACTTCTGACTCAATAGAAGTTGTGAATACCAATGTCCAGTAGAGAGCAATGGTCAGACATGGAGCAATGGTCAGACATGGAGCCATGGCTGTGTTGAAGAGAAGTTGCACTTAAAAAGAAGGAAAAAAAAAAGATAAAGAAAAAAAAGTCTGGCTGGAAATACAATGTACAAAGCAATGGAAAAACACACACTAGTCTGTGAGAACTAATGCTATGCAAATTAATTCAATTCAGCATTAACTTCATGCAGATCCATCTGCATAGCACGTTGCAGGATCTTTAGAGGTGCTGTAGCCATTCCAGATTGCTGAACAAGACCCCGCTACTTTAGAAATGTTGACCAAAGTCAGGATTTCAAAATTCTGGTGTTGCTGGTTTTGATGATGTCCTTGTGCTACTCCTGTTCCTGCAGTTGTGGAAGTTGCAGTGTCCTGCAAAGGTTCCAATTAGACTGTGTTTTCACTGAGCTTTTTCTGCATCTCTCCTGTAGATAGTTAATTTCTTGAGTTTAGTGTGTCTATAAAATTCTCTTTTACAGACACAAACTTCTTCCATGTGATTTTTGAGATCTGTGCCAAAATAGATTGTCAATGCAAACCTCAATCTATTATTCCCCTGAGTATATAAATTTTCACATGCAAATAAAGCTGCTTGTGTTCATTTAAAAATATACTTTATAATTATTTTTACTTTATTCCCCCCCCCCTCCCCAAAATAGAAAGCAATCAAAATGAAAGCAGCCAGTCAGGAAAATGTTTAATTGAGTGTAATAGCAATTCTTACCAGTTTCAGAATAGAGTCTGCACAAAATCTTTTGAAACACCATCACTTTTACCAGATAGATTGACAATTGTCTCAATCTTCATTCACCTTATGTGCATGGCTGTCAGTATCTGAGAAGTATCAGTTTAGTGCAGTGGGAAGTAAGCAAGGAATTAATGCCAGAATTTTCAAGCTTAGGGAAAAATATGAGAAATAATATCACTTTGCATAAATGTCATTCACTCTGCTGTGCTGCCTAAATTCAGTATCTAAATAAGAAAGTAAAAAAAAGCTCCGATCGCTCATGAGACACAGATGAGTTCCCTTTCACAAAGGAGCCAGGCAGGGAAGGTCAATGTTCAGATTACTTCCTACATGGTGAGGCTGCCCTAAGTTATGCTTGCCAGAACAGGATTTCTACTTACCTAGGCAGGCTGAATGAACAAAGAAAGACAGACAGAATGGTTCTTTACCATCACCTGCCTCCACAAACAAAGAAGCTCTAAAGTCATCTCAAAAGATTTGCTGCAACTCTGCAGTGGTGGACAGAAAAAAATGGACTATCACCTTC